ATGAAAACCAATGAATTACAAGTATTTATGTTTCGTAATACATACCATTACTATTATTATGTATGGGACAACATACGCAGGAGTCCGCATTCTTCGTCCATTTGTCTGAAGTTGTACGAGAACTTGTATCATATCTGCGCATGTTTACATCTGTGCATATAAAATAATTTGGTGTATGTTACATAATATATACGTATTTGGTAAATTACAATATAACTAAGCACAATAAAAAAACTAACATCTTATTTTTTAACATACTTGTACATACTACAACATATGCTCTTAAGGCTCCTGGGTGCTCACTGCAAACATGTTGGATTGTAATGTCAGAAGCGAGAAATGACACGCTGAGAATGTATGCATGCCATTTTTAAATAAAGACATTTGTATGAGAAAACACTTTAGATTGCCTCAGCATACTTATAAAATGTTTCAAAACTTAAATTTTTCCCTTGAAAATTAATAAACAGCTATAAAATGTAAATATAACACAAACCCTAGTCATATAACGCTATGCATGCGCAACATCTCATGACTTCGTGTTACATTAATATTTTATAGCTGTTCATCAAATGCAGAGGGAAAAGGTTAGGTTAGGTTAGGTTTTTCTTATTTTCGGAGCACCCAGGAGCTTTTAGTATCAATTAAGGTAAGTAATATGTATTATATTATATTTACATTATCCATATATTCAAGACTAACTATAAAATACTGAGTGCAGGATAACTAGATATATTATTATTTAAAATATAATTTAAAAATGAAGCTGTTTAAAAATAGAATAATTATAAGAAATTTGCCTATCTTATATATATTTCTATATGTATTTGCTGGTAATATTACTAATATCACAGAATTAATTAAACTCTTTATATTTGTATAAGTAAACAAAAATAACAAGAGTCTACCTTTCTGTAGATGTTTTTGCTGTACTTTCAAAGTGTTTGTATTTGATGTTCCAGATATATTATTGTTTTCTGAACAATTATCATATTTCTCTGTAATATTTTCCTTTTCTATTTCAGCTCTGGACATCTGATTAGATTCTCTAGACATGTTATTATATGATAAATCATTTTTATCTGCAATATGTAGTTTTTTCTTTCTGGACACCTTATCTGAAAGATTAAGGGTGGTAGTTCTAAATATTTTATTCTAAATTTATTGCGAAAAAATATCACCTACGCCAAGGTTTGAACCTGGACCTCCCTCTCGCTAGGTGGGCGTGTCAATTCGACTACCGAGGCACATGGCAATATTCGTCGCAATAAACAGTTTAATGTTGATTCCCGAATGCCACCTATCGTGACAGTATTCGAAAACATATGATTCAGCTTTTCTCAACAATTAGAAACAATCGCTAAATAAAATATTGGTGGTAAGTACCTTTTTGTATATCACTCGATCTAAAAATATTGCTCACTCTTTCAGGTTTATGTAATTGTTCCTCTGATAAATAAACAAATATTGATATAATTACAGAAGAATTAATTAATATAAGTTGCTTATTATGAGTTTTATATTGACACAATAAATAAACTTTACCTGATTTTCCGATTTCTACATCATCACACTCTTCTAAACCTATAAAATAAAATATATTTAAAATTTTCAATATCAATGTTTTCAAATTTTCAAATTTTTAATAATGAAATATTACGGAAATGTACAAAATTCAATTCTTGTTTTAAACAAATATATCTTCTATTTTTAAGAAAGTACACACACGTTAATCAATAAATATGTAACGCTACCGGCTCTTCCCCGGGACGCGCCCCGGGTGTGGGCGCCGGGAAGAGCTTCCTCGCGCTTTCTTATCGTCTTCCGGACCCGTTGCGCTCGCGAGTTCCGGGTCTTCCCCTTGGCCAGATAGGCTCAGCTCGCCAGGGTCGAAAGGGGGAGGTCGGTTAGATCGGGGTATCGCTTGGCGTGAAAGAATAGAGAGCGTTTACAAGGTAAAGAGATCGACTTTATTTCGCTATGCCCATCGGGTTATAGCTACAGTGCGTTAGCGGGTTTGCAAAGCGTGCGGGATGGTTTGCTGTTGATTTCGTCGTCGTTCCACGGCGCCGGCGGAGTCGCGCTCGGTGCGGACCCAAACTAGTATGCGGGTAACATGAGCATAAGCGGGGTCGCGGTTAGCGCGGAACTTAAATCATAAAGCAGAAGCGGAGTCGCGGTTAGCGTGGAACTTAAACTATAAAGCATAAGCGGAGTCGAGATTAGCGCGGAGCGCGCGTAACAGAAAGAATAAGCGGAGTCGCGATCGGCGCGGAACTAAATC